AGTCTTGCTTTGTTATCCAGGCTGGAGTGCAGTGGCGCAATTGGCTCACTGCAACCTCCATCTTCTGGGTGCAAACAATTCTCCTGCCTCAGCTTCCCAACTAGCTGAAACTACAGACTCCCACCACCACTCCCAGCTAAGTTTTGTATTTTTAGTAGAGACAGGGTTTCACCATGTTAGCCAGGATGGTCTGGACCTCTTGGCCTCGTGATCCACCTGCCTCAGCCTCCCAAAGTGCAGGGATTACAGGCATGAGCCACCGCGCCTGGCCTAAAGTATCTCCTTTTCTACTTTAAAGACAGGCAACCTACAAATTGTTTTTATTTGGATTCTCATCTGAACATTGAATTTAACTAGAATATCCTGACCATACGAATTTTTATGCATTTTGAAGCTATGTAATTACATAGCTCATTTTGGATTTTTGTGTTTCCCTACTGAACTGACCCTTTTATCATCATGAAATGTCCCTTTTTGTCCCTGGTATTATTTCTTGCTTTAAATTCAGTCTACTGCTACCCACGCTTTGTTTCTTTGGTTAGGATTTACAGAGCACATCTTTTTCCATCCTTTTAATTTCAGTCATTTTTAAATACCTTAAAGTATGTATCTAATAAATGCCATTACAGTACTTGTGTCTTGTGTATGTCTTTAAAATCCAGTCTTATCTTTTTTTTAATTGGAATGTTTAGTGTACTTTAATTATGGATGTAGCTGGGTTTAATTCTACCATCCTGTTCTTTGTTCCATCTATTCTTTTCTCCCCTCTTGCTTTTTGATTACAAGCATTTTTCATTGTTCAGTTTTTTTCTCTCCTCTGTTAGCTTTTTATGTTATCTTATTATTTTAGTAGTTATCATTAAGACTATAATATGCTTCCTTGGTTTATTATACTTTACTCAAAATAAGTACTTTTACCTGTTCCAAACTTAGAGCGGTTTACCTGTTATTCCTTTACCCCCTCTGCCCTTTGTGTTATTGTCACAAAGTCTACTTTTACATACATTATAAATTCAGTAAGTTTTTTTTTTTTTTTTTAGATTTTTTTTTTTTTTTTAGATGGAGTCTCCCTCTGTCACCAGGCTGGAGTGCTATGGCACAATCTCAGCTTACTGCAACCTCCACCTCCTGGGTTCATGCAATTCCCCTGCCTTAGCCTCCTGAGTAGCTTGGACTACAGGCACCCGCCACCACGCCCAGCTAATTTTTGTATTTTTAGTAGAGATGGAGTTTCATGTTGGCCAGGATGGTCTCAATCTCCTGATCTCGAGATCCGCCTGCCTCAGCCTCCCAAAGTGGTGGGATTACAGGCGTGAGTCACTACACCCCACCTAGTGAGATATTTTTTTTGTTAGTGTTTTAGATCAGCAGTTTTCCCCCAAGCAGTTTAAAGACATAATTTCATTCTTTTCTGGCTTCCATATCTGAGGAAAAATTAGCTGTCTGACTGTTGTTCCTATGTAGGTAATATACAGGCCGGTATCCCTTATCTGAAATGTTTGGGACCAGAAAGTATTTCTGATTTTGGATTTCTGATTTTGGAATATTTGAATATACAAAGTGAGATATCTTAAGGGATGAGAGCCAAGTCTAAACACAAAATTGATTTATGAGCCAGGCATGATGGCTTGCATCTGTAATCCAGCACTTTGGGAGGACAGAGCAAGCAAATGAATTTCGAGACCATCTGGGCAACACGGTGAGACCCTGTCTCTACAAAAATACAAAAATTAGCTAGATGGATGGCACACACCTGTGGTCTCAGCTACTTGGGAGGCTGAGGTGGGAGGATCACCTGAACCCAGGGAGGTAGAGGCTGCAGTGAGCCCTGATTGTGTCACTGTACTCCAGCCTGGGTGACAGAATGAGACCCTGTCTAAAAA